TCGAGTCCTGGACCCGGTGGCTTAAAACTCACACCGGGCGCATGTGCATGCATGCCCAGTATCCTGAGAGTAGAATGAAGGAGAAGGGATTGTGGTGTGGCCATCCCCCTGGGGGGTGATTTCTCGCTTTCTGTCTCTCTGTCTCTCTCTGTCTGTCTGACGAGCGCACATGCCCTATAGCAGAAACCTCTCCAAAAAAAAAAAAAAAGCTCTAACACAAGAACCTGACTGGTAAAAGTCACCTGTCTGGACACTGCCTAGGCCCTGTGAGGTGTCCCTGTCTGCTGGCAGGAAGGAAGGTACCGTGGCACCGTGGCATTTGGGGGCCCGAGTTGCCTGAGAAGCAGAAGACTGGGTGTCTGGGGCGGTCTGACTCCGGGTGGTCGTGTGCAGCGGTAGGTGCCTGAGCAGTCACTCTTGGTGACAGTGTGTGCCCTGTGTGACCGTGAGCAGCTGGGACCGGGTGCCTGGTGTTGGTGCGTGGTAGTAACTGATGCCGTGTGCCTGGGACTATCATGGACCTGCAGGACAGTGTGAGTCTTGTATGATGACATGTGACTTTGTGGACAGTGTTTCCTTCGCCTTGTGTGATGGGTGGGCAGGGACAGTCGCCCCCACATGTTCACCCCCGGGCAGCAGCAGGTGGCTGGGGCCAAGAGCCAGGATCTGGAAGCTCAGGACTGAGCTCCGCCTTCTCCCTGCCCTGAAGCCCTAGGCAAGCACTAGCCCCAACCGGTTGGGCCTCTCCAGAGGGATGAGAAGGGGGAGTAGCCTGGGCTCCACCCCCAGCACTCAGCCTGGACTCCTGGCTCCATTAGCCCTCCTTCAGGCCCCAAACCCTGCCTCCTGCTCACTCTCCAGCTGCACCCCTGTTTGAGGTAACAAAGACGTCTGCTCTGCCCTTCTGTGTCCTGGGACCACAGTCACGCTTAGCACCATGAGTGCGTGCACACACACACACAATGACGCCCCATGGCGGGCAAACAAGTCAACACTAAGACACATTCTAACAAGCCTTCAGAATACAAACACATCTCGATGCGGTCCCACGTTCCTACACAAGCAGGTACGGTCAGATCCATACAGAGACACGCATCTGCACATACACAGTACAAGTCATCTGAAAGGCACGCCCACTGTGTGCTCGTGTAAGCCCCATGTGTGTTCATTCAAGACCAGACATATCCACAGGAGCCCTGCCTGGCAGACTTAACCTGGCTCTGGAGAAGCCAGCAAGGACCCTTTCCACACCCCGACCCCACCCCTTCGGTGTGGCTGAACTTCCCCTCAGAACCTTGGCGCAGCTACACCCTGTGCAGCTAGGCTCCAGGCAGGCTGGCCGCTGGGACTCTAACGGGACCTGGGGATGCCTCTTTGAGCTCCAGGCCAAGAGAATGCCAGCTCGTTCCTGAGATAAGGATCCTGATGCTATCTGCCAGATCCTGGGGCAGCACAAGCAAGCCAGGGGTGAGCCAGGACTCAGCAAGCGCAGGCTCCACCTT